ACTGCTATCATGTCCCCCCTCGTCCTTCTCTTCATTAAACTAGACATACCCAATTCCATCTGCCCCAATGATGCGGCAGATATGCGCGTGGACATATGCCAAGCTATGCCACATTCTGCATCTCTCGGAGTTATGGCCAAATCCAGGATGTGGAACATGGAATTCTGGAGTTTCTGTTGCTTGGCAACTAGAAAAGCCGGTGCAGTAAAGCAGAACGGAGACCGACGTAGACCCCCGGATGCCCGGGCATCCGCTTGGCACGATGGGAAGCGGGCTGCGTTCGTCCTAATGGAGCGCCCTCGGAGAGCCCATGGTCAGTTGCTGGCGCCTTTGTTTATCTCCTGCCTTTATTGTTTCCATAAGGAACTGGTGGACGTACCTGATGGTCCTTCCTCCTTCTATTTTCCCCACAGCCATAAGAACACCAGCTGGGGCCAACTGGATGGGGCCCCTGCCCTGTCTAGTCCAGCTGGGTCTTCTCACAGGGCTGTTGGGGAGAGACTGTCTGGGTGGAGTGATCAAGTGGGGGATCTCTGTCTGTCTATCACCTATCTATCAATCTATCTAGCATCTATCACCTATCTATCTATCTATCTATCTATCTATCTATCTATCTATCTATCTATCTATCACCTATCTATCACCTATCTCCTCTATCACCTATTTATCAATCTATCTAGCATCTACCACCTATCTATCAATCATCTATCTATCTATCTATCTATCTATATCTATCTATCTATCTATCTATCTATCTATCTATCTATCTATCTATCTATCACCTATCTATCAATCTAACATCTATCACCTATCTATCTACCTTTCTCTCTTATCTATCTACCTTTCTCTCTTATCATCTATCTATCTATCATCTATCTATCTATCACTTATCTATCAATCTATCTAACATCTATCACCTATCTATCTATCTATCTATCTATCTATCTACCTTTCTCTCTTATCTATCTTTCTCTCTTATCTACCTTTCTCTCTTATCTATCTATCTATCTATCTATCTATCTATCTATCTATCTATCTATCTATCTATCTATCTATCTATCTTATCTATCTATCTAGGAGTCCTTGGTGCTTTCTGAGCTTGGTGGTTTCCTTGCAGACTTGGGAGGAGGAGGAGGAGGAGGAGGAGGAGGAGGAGGAGGAGGATTGTGGAGTCCTTGGTGTTCACTGAACTGACCCAATTAGGTAGCACTCAATGCACTGGGGAACATCATCAGTGCACTGGGCAATGAAACCCCTGCAAGAAAACCACAAAGTTCAGAGAGCAACAAGGACCCCACAGTCATCCTCCTCCTCCTCCTCCTCCTCCTCCTCCTCTCCCCAAACCCCCTCCCTTCTAGCACTGATTATATTACCTACACTAGCGGCCAAAATTGTGGAAACCTTTTGGAAAAAGTGTACAGGAGAAATGCCCCCTTTGGTTAAGTTTCCACCCATTTTTCTTCTAATTTCTTTATAACTGTAGCCTCGTTCACTTAATAATTCTACTTTACATCGCTTTCTGGGCGACCAATCAACTCTTTGCACCATGACTTTAATTTTATTCCGTTTTACAAGCTCACTAAATGAAAGAACACAAAAAAAACCCAACCGACTTGATAGCGATCAGATAACACATTGACAAATGTCCTCCTCTCAGCTTCAATACAGGACATCAATCACTGGATCCTACTGTGATCTGATTGGCTCATGGCCAAAACAAGATGACACCCGATTGGCTCTCTAAACACTCACTCTCATTGGCTACAATCAGATGAAGGAAAACTATCGGATATCAACCTAAGCAAGTTGTGCTTACTTTTTCTGGTTATTTGGCTATACCTTTTCATAGAACACAGTACAGATAATTGAACAAACTATGTTGCATTACGTTTATTTATTTATTATTTATTTATTATTTTAATTTGTATACCGCCCTTCTCCCATAGGACTCAGGGCGGTTCACAGCATATTAAAAACAAATAATAAACACAAAATACAAAAAATTACAAAATACAAAAATACAGAAAATAAACCCCGATAAAAGCCGAATTAAAACCAAATATTACAAGCTGTGTTTCCAATTAAAAT